CAGCGACTTCGGACCTCCTCAGATACAGTGAGTAGTGCTACACAAAACAACAAAATGTTAGTTACGATATCATAGCTGTTAGAAGGGCACATCCAAACCACTTCAACTACGCAGGGTTAACAGCTCAGACATTGGTTCAATATTAATGCTAAGATCCTCTGATATCTGAGTTAGCAAACACTACCCAAGTTCCTCAACTTCATCACATGATGACCTCAAATATCCAGCAAATGAAAGGTATTTCAAATGTGTGAAAGTGCTGAAAATTGCAGTAAAACGACACTGAACATCTTATGTACCAGCCAGATAGGCCACACTCTGGGTGTTGACCTCAAACTTGTCACATTTCAGATGCTTGCTGATGAGAGCCAACAGTGTGTGAAGGATTCTCACTGTCCTTGCGACTGTGGTGGCTGATGGGTGCCTGTAGCCTGAAAGACATGTATAAAACATGCTGAGAAACAGAAAGACAGACGGCAATGGAAATGTCATTGTGTACAAAAACAATCAAACAAAATATAGTGCTGAGGGGGGACAAACCCACACACATAATAAAACGCGTTGCTTTTCACAGTCACGCTGTGTGACTTCCTTTCTTAGATACTGTAGTTAAATGCAGACAGCCATTTTTAGACATAGCACTTCCTATGTACATATTCTGAAGCTTCATTTCTAAAATCACACTGACAGCAGATTTGTGTGTCTGTTTAACTGTGTTTTTGCAGACTAAATATCTACAAACAAGTGTTTAGAAGCATGACACACCAGTTTACCTTTGAGTAGGTGGCCCACCAGTGCAAAGTTAAAGTTGGCGCTAAAGTTGAGTCCGACAAAGTGATCCATCTGCTTGCAGTGCCATTCTAAAGGACGCCTGATCTCCATGAATACTTCTTCTGGACTCTGCAGGACAAATTATATGTTAAAAAAAAAAAGACTCCTTATCAATGGCCATGTCGATGTATGGCTACAATATATTTCCTGCACACAGATGTTACTTTTGGCTACATGATGGAAGTCTAGTGCTAAATACTGAATCAAATATCTCTTTAACATACAAAAAAGACCAATCAGTTTTTTAGCTCCTGTCAGAGAAGTTCTACATAAAAGTAATGGGTGATGTGCAGTGCCAGACGATATTCTGACTGTCTTATAAATGAGTGTGTTTACGTTCACTTCAATAACCTGATCACAGAGGGAAACCTGAGAAACACTGCAGTCATCTGGTTGCTTACCATCACCACTACCCACTTTTCTAAAGTCAAAGCGTGCCTACAGTGGATGAGCTGAAGTTATTAGCCATATTCACATAAACAATGTTCCTGGGCATTGTTACAAACTAAATTATACATATACAAAGCAAAAAGTAGATTGTCACCCGATGGATGGTCTTTAATTCAAACAATATACAGCTGCAGGAATGAAAAAGCAGTAAATAATGCTTTTTACCTTATCATTGAAAACACGCATTGTGTCCAGAGTGTGGAGGTTCTGCTCCAGCAGGGCCGTTCCAGCTGAGTAAAGGTTGACTTCATCCAGCTGCAGCACAGCTATTGCCACCCAGAACAGAGCTTTGTGCATGGGAGATTCCTGGGAGATTAAACAAATAAAGACAAATTTAATTAATATTACAAAGGGGATAGTGATAAACAAAGAGCCAATAAGGTTTTACTTTATAACAATATGATGTACAGAGTTACCAAGTTGAAAAGAAAGGAAAAGATCAAACAGTTTGAAACAATTTGATTTTGAACAGAATTGTGAATTTCTGAAAGGTTTCCCAACTGTGACAAAAAGTAGATCTATACTAGTTGAATACCTTGCTGAGTAGAGGTTGTAGCTTAGTCAGAGCAATGACTGTGGCCTCTATTAATACTTGGCTGTTGTAATTGTCTGGCCCCTTCAGACAGCTCTCTAGACCCTGAAATAAAAAGAAGAGTGAGTGAAATAAAAAGAAGGAAGAAGAACAAAATGTTAAACATAATTTTTCAGTTAAATGTTACCGTTTACACCGTACACAATGCACGGAATAAAGAAGTCAAAGAGACAGTGAAGTAAAATTCACAGGTGTATGTGAAGCAGCTTTACTCTACAAACGTCTATGTAGACACGTAAAGGACTGAAACACACGTTCTGTTCACGGATCAGACTGCATGGTAAATGACTCAAGGCCCTCACCCGGTCTATGCTGAGCAGAGGGCTAGCCTTGCTTAGGATTCGAATGATCTGCTTGATCTGGCCATGGCTCACTCTTTTACTGATGCAGCCAAACACCACCAGTGCTCTGGGCTGAAGAGATGGGTTGTATTGGAATGCAAACCTGGAATCCAAAGACAAATAAATACCTGTTCCACACTGAAAATCTATGCAACTGAATGAAAAGCAATAGAACACAAGAAGATCATACTTTTGTGCAAGTTCTGTCCACTGGTCTAACCACTTGCAGCTTGGTATGTCCCTCATACAAGCCTGGACCAAAAACACATAACTCAATCAGTATTTAATAAACTAAATACAGTAATTAGACAAACAGTCAATTTTATAATAATAACTTTTTATTAAACGAATAAGGGTAGTAGGAAGGCAGAGAAAAAGCAAAAACATGTAAAAATCCTGATTTTCTCAGCTGACCTCCATGATTTCCAGTAAGGCCTCAGTGACGGTTTCGAGGGAGGACAGTGCAAAGGTCTCCCTCTCATAAGAGCCTGGTGAGAATGAGCGGTCTCTGTAGCTGGAGCGGAAGGCAATCACAGCGGCTGATTTGACTTTGCTGATGCCAAACAGCAGGTAGAACTTGGGCAGGGAGAACTCAGTCAGACTCAGCCTCAGAACCTGCTTTGTTTCCTCTGTATTCAACACAAAAACATGGTTCTTTTTTCAGGTCACAGTAGCTTACTCGCTTTTTGTTTTGTGTGTCCATTGTGTGCCTGCACGCCATGCAAGCTCATGCATCTAGCTTTATGAAGATACCTCCCATTATTCACTGACCAATAAAGAAGAAAACAAATGAACAAACACTTCCTCACCACTGAAGTTGAGCTGAGAGCAGGTGCAGAGGGAGTGGATAATGTTGATGACCAAACCGTGAGTGGAGGCCCTGAGGGACAGAGGCCCAGTGGCTACTAGCAGGGTTACCACATGGAACAGATAAGGCAAGTGGGCTGCCACATCTAAAGAGTTGTTGAAGGACAACATGAGCATGTAGCGAGCCAAGATGGCAATGTCATCCCACATCAGGTGCTGCTCCAGTGTTGGCGTTGGGGACAGACACGTCTTGTCGATGATCTTACACATCCGCCCAATGACCTACCACAAAGAATAGGTGTAGAATCATTATGTCTAGCATGTCCAATTTAGGTTATGTCTTAGCATCTCATTTGGGTTAAAGGTCAGGATCAAGTCCTTATTCGCTCCGAAGCTTCGGCTCATTGTTTGCTGCATCTGCTTCTAAGCATTATGTCACCGAGTTCAAGGTGTCACTTATGCTATTATCTGAACATTGCCTCAGTTGCGTCCTGCAATTAACACCATTATTATTCATTGTTTTTTCTACAGTGGACACATGAATACAGATGCTAGCTAGCCACATAACCTTTTGCAGTTTTTTGTTGCTTATTTTCACCCATTTTTCAGAACTGAAAGTTGAAAAAACAAAAAAATAAAGCTTGGTCTGTTGGTACAGGGTTAATGATGCAGGTATCAGAATTTGTTATAGAATAAAATAATAACTCACAGGAGCAGAACAGTTACGATAAGAATGAGTGGAAATCTAGTCCCCAATAGTAAAATGTACTGTATTGCATATGAGATCTGATTTATGACATGAAAAACTATCCAATGTTTGCTCAGAGGAAGTCCCATGGGCTCTCCCCATCCTCCTCGTCTCCCCTGCAGACCTTCAGTCTGTGCAACATAGATTCATAAGATGGAATCTCCACGTGAGAAACCGTTTTTAGAAATGTGTTGCCTTTTCCAGCTTAATGCATCTGTACAATAGTACAGTTACTAAGTGCCTGTGAAAGTTGTTGGGTGTAATGCATGCCTTACATCAAACACTTTATTTTCTTCTATTTTTCTTCAGATTGGATACCTATGTTTTTAGAAGGGCAGTTTCTGTCATTATCAAGACTTTATGAGCATAAAGAAAAAAGAAAAAACAAAACAGAGAAGAGCACATCCTCACACCACACCCGATCTCTAAGAAGCTACGGTATTAAAGACGACTTCCACAGGGGTTAACTGGAAAAAGTTTACTGGGGGCATTACTCATGATATTCAATCAGATTGTGAATGTCTATGTTCTCCGTAGAAGCCTGTGGAAATGTCACTGAAAGCCACTTCCTCCTGCTGCTTTTTAAAATTTCAAGCGATCAAACGATTATTTAAAGAAAATGATAGAAAAGCTTTATCCTTACACAACCACAACCGTACATTAAGGCCTTATAAAATGTATCTCCTTGCGTAAGCTAATAATAACTTCTCAAAAATTTTGAACTCAAGTAAAATTTTGTACAAGTAAAATCATGGTTTTATAGCAGTGCTTAATGCAAACTTAATAATAAATGTATCACTAGTAAACTAATAATACTAATCATGACCCTTATTAATCATTTTGGTTATGAAGCTGACATACTGGACTATACAGCTATTCTAACCAGTTAGAAAATGGCATTTATTCATGTTTTGGGAGACAAAGAGTTCAAGAACAGCAAACAAGAAGCCATTGTGTCCAGTAGGCTGTACTGCCATGACATCATGCTGTAACTCTACAGATAACACCAGGATAAAGACTCAAGTAAGACGTCTAATAGCTATGTACAATGCTCAATTTTATATATCGTTTTTCAAATTCAGTACAATACTTTAGTAAGACCAAACTGACCTGCAGAGAAAAACAATACTACAACTTAAAGATCAATTTTTTCTTAGTCAACAGTTTTCACAATGGCCACTATTGAGTGCAGTGATGGTGTCTGCTATAATCGGAGCCAGGGCCTTGGGTTTTCTTTTGTGTCTGCCTGTGTATATTGTGTTTGTTTATCCAAACAGCAGCTTGGATTTGGAACAACAGCACACAGATAATGGATAGTGATTAGATGAGTTTGTCTCTTTAGCTTCTACAAATCAAGAGTGAATCCCAGCTGGATTTATTTCTTCCATCAGTATGTAAGTAATTATTAACTGACTTTAACATTTAAATATATTTTATATTTTAGGTTTCTGTGTAGGAGTAGGAGTATGCCCTTGACCACCAAAATCTAATGACTTTTTCCTGAAGTCTAAAGACTTTGGCCAAATTTGTAGAGATTTCTTTGAGATGTAAAGAGAAAAAAATTAAGAATTTAAGGGACACTGTCACTGTAACCTTTGACCACCAAAGATTTGATGTTAAAAACTGTGGGACAATTATTGTAGGTTCTTTACAATTTAACGCACCATGAGGCAACTGTTGTTGTGATTTGATTATATAAATAAACTTGAACTGAACTGAATTGGGACTTGATAGACAACCCAAAGATGCAAGTCCTGTGGCCACTGTGGTTGTCAGTGTGGAAACATAACAAAGGCAAAAAATTGTCAGCTGCCTTGGCTCATGTCCATGTGCATTTCTGCTTTTAGGCCACATGATGTGGTGGCTTTTTGTTGATTTGTTTTTCTGTCCTTAACTACAGGCTCTCTGTTTCGACTGATCAGTAGCTGGCAGAGAAATTTTGCTCTTTACGTACAGCTGTTCTTCTAAATGAAAACTGTAGCACACATAGCTAGAACGTAGAGTATGAGATCCAGTTGCAGCACAGAAGCACGTTTTAAACTTGCAGCCTGAAAGCATTAATCATTAATCCATAATTTAAACATAGTATATCCTTTATTAACCACAACCAAATGAGCTGACCTGGACCAAGTAGAAGTGAGTCTATTAAGAAGTGTTAACACCAGGTCAGGGTTTGTGTGTGTCGGTCTATGTGTAAATATCTATATCTAGAAGGTTTGATGTTAAATTTGTGGGCCAGTACATGATAGGGTACTGCTATCATGCCCTGGCCCCGTTGTGCCATATCTACTGTCTGTAGTTTCAAGACAGTGGGTAGCTGGCTCAGTTGATGTGCATAAGGCTGATAATGCTATATATTGACATATATCTGCCACGCATTGTGATATATTGCATAACACAATGCAGCATACACAGATAATAAAAGCACAGTGCTCAGAAACAGAAGAGTTTGACAAATGGCAGGAAAGTGCATTGCAGTTCCCCAAGTGGAAGAATATATAAGCTCTCTTTCTGATGGACGTTTATTGTTTTATATTTTTCCAGAACTCTTTCAATATTCTTTGTAACAGATGTGAATCAGCACAGAAATGCCCCTAGTGGGAACAGTATGTAATTACTGAATTTCTCCTTTTCACCTGATTTTGATATTTGGCAATGAATGAAAGTTCTGTAAAGAAAAGTAATTACTTTATGAAAATAAAGTATTTCGTCCACTTCTTATGTATATTAAAATGTATAGGATAATGAGCATATGTGTTTGTATGAAATACAATGTAGGATTTGTCCTGTTTAACATAATGCGATGGTTTTTACAACCGCTTTAATTGATCAGTTGTTTACTCAAACAACCTGCTCTGCTCATTTAACAGAACCCCAAGTCACTTTCCATCATCAATACCATTAAATCCTCTCCACGAGTTGCAACATGATTCAACATGATTATTTTCTGTGTGTATTAGTTGCCAATGTGCTCTCACCTTGTTGGAGACCAATTTGACATTTCCTGAGGCTAGAGCCACTGCAGTATCAGCCATAACCTCTGCTTTGATGGAACCCAGGCCTCCTGTGGCACTGGTCTTAATAAAGCTGTCTAAGACCACATCCAGCAGGTCTGTTATCTGAAGGTGAGATGGTTAGAAGGCCAGAATCCAAGAGACACATGTACTTATTTAGCTGCTGAGGGGCTGGGTAAACTTACCTGGCCAAGGCTGCCCCAGATCTTAGCCTGGATAGAGGGATACATCTGTTTTTCATTTATTGTCATGGTGATAAGTTTGTCCAAAATGGCAGTGACCCGCTGGCGCTTGGCATCGTCATTGTGCTTACAGAAGCGGACCAGGTTGAGCAGCCAGGGTGTCATGTACTCCAAGCAGAGATGCTTCAGCTCGATGCCTGCAAGAGAACAGCAGCACTTAGAGCTTACGGTTTATTTTAATGTTAATAATATATCACTATATTGCCAAAAATATTCAATGGTCCTGTCTTCAAACACTTATGAACTTAAGTTTATTTATTAAGCACTTTTCACAGACAGCGGGTAACAACAGGCTAAATAAACAAGAATATTAGGTGCCAAAATAGACAATATAAAATATTTAATAATATACAGCAAAGTTAACAGGTGGCTTTAAAATAAATTAATCAATTTAAATAAGTAAATAAATACATTTCTGAACAGAAAGCCGGATTAAACAGAAATGTTTTTTTTTTAAAGAATCAGCAGAGTCAACCAAACACAGCTGTGGTGGTACACTGATCCACAGCCTTGGTGCCACAGGCTGAAAGGCTCTGTATGGGGAACAACCAACCGACTCGGAGTCTGTGAACGTGGACAACGAGCAGCAGTGTATTTTGTAAGAAGCTGAGATAAATAATCTGGGGCCTGGCCATTTGGTGCTCTGTATCCTAAAACAAGAATTTTAAAATGAATTCTAAAATCTATTTGCGAGCCAATGTAGAGAACATAAAACAGGAGTAATGTGAGCATGCTTGCTAGAACGTGTTAGCAGTCTGGGTGAAGCACTTTGTATAGCTTGGAGGTGAAAAAGGGATGATTTGTCCAAGCTGGTAAACAGAGCATTACACTAAACGCGATGACACAAACGCAGTTCAGCTGAGGAGACCATATGTTGCAATTTAGAAATGTACCTTAAATGAAAGAAACAGGAACCAGACAAAGGTTTTACATGCAACTCAAATATTACTCCAAGGACAGAAAGAAGCAAGAACCTGACTGACTTCAGAATGTAGTTCAAGAGGAGCTGCAATCACGGTCTCAGTCTTGTTGGTGTTTAAAACAAGGTAACAGATAGAGAGCCAATCTGAGTTAAGTAGTGGATTAGGGTGGACCACCTATCCAGTAGATGAGTCTTAAAAGACATGACAGCTTATCCATCGTATGCTAATGACAGCTGAATATGTCACTGGCATACAATGGATAAGAAATGTCACTAAAAGACTAAATAAGCTAAAGAAAGCATGTAGAAAGAAAATAATAATGGACTCAAAACTGAACCCTGTGGAACCCCGCAGGTCAGGAAGGAAATGTTAGAGGAGAACTTGTCTGTTCTAACAAAGAAGGTCCTATCAGATAAATATGAAGAAAACCATTCTGGCTTTCTTTCTCTGGCAGAGCCATATACACCAGCTAAAGCTTTAAGCCTGTTAATCCCTGCATCAGAAGCCATTAGAAGATCATTACAGACCTTCAAAGGAGCGGTCTCAGTGGAACGCTGCCTCTGAAAGCCCGACTGAAAAGGGTAAAAATATGTAATCCGCATAGTAAAGATCAGAACTGATTTTCTACTATTTTTTCTAGTAATTTGCTTATAAATGGCCTATTGAAATAGGCTTAAAATAATTACTAGTAGAGCTGAATTCAAGATCATGTTAGAATAGGAAGGTCCATCCCCAAACCAGACTGTTCCCACAAAGTTGTGAGCATGAAAATGCCCTAAATGTCTTCGTATGCTGAATCAATGAAATGAAGCTCACAAATGAAGAGCTGCTTTTACTGGAACTAGGGGCCTGAGCACAGCTCTTGAAAAACAACAACACCACAATCAACGTCCACCAAACTTAATACTTGGCACAGTGCAATCAGTATCTTTCTCCTGGGAGCTGCCAAACCGATATTCGTCAATTGGATTGCCGAAACAAGTGTTTACTGCTCTAGAGTCCAGTGGCTGTGTGATTTACACCACTGCATCCAAAGCTTTGCCTTATACTTGGTGATGTAAGGCTTGGATGCAGCTGCTCTGCCATGAAAACCTATTCCATGAAGCTTTTTGTGCAAAGTCTTGAGCTAATTTGAAGGCTTCATGAAGTTTGGAGGTATGTAGCGACTGACCATACAGAAAGTTGGCGACCTTTGTGCACTGTGCACTTCAGCATCTACGTAAAATCATAAACCATATTGTCATTCCCAAACGCTCCCCTTCCCACCACAGTTATGTAAAAAAAGAAACAAAAACCTTAAAACTTTATGCATTTCAGTGAGGTGAGCTGGTGGCGGTATGAGTACAATGTATCTATTCCCATTTAGAGAGGTAACATCTTTGAATAATAAACTGACGCAGTTTCATGACTGAGTGTATGTGAGAGCTTATGTATGGTAACCAGTACGATGGTAAGCAGACTTACTAGACTTGCTGAAGCCTGAGATGCACTCCTCCAGAAACTCCAGAGTCAGATGAGGTTCGTTGGCTGCCAGAGTTTTGCTGATGGAAACTATAAAGAGCGTATTGTTGGCTGGGATGCAGAGACCTGATGTCTCCAGCAGCTGGCCCTCTATCTTCAGATTAAAGGTGCAGGTCAAAGCACACAATAGGTTGTAAGCTGCAGATCTGGATATGAAACAGATAAGTCAGTGTAAAAACAGTTTTAGTCTTTACTTTTACAGGTTTGAGTTGAAAAACGTGTTGTAAATGAGTAGATCAAAAGTTTTATTTCAGGTCGGTGAAGCTCAACTGAAAACTGGAAAGACAATAAGATGTGCTAAAATGTTCGAGTTTTTCCTTTGAAACTGAACCACTTGCATTGGATCAAAAATATTTAGGCTCATGTTCAAAGTATACATTACTGCGCAAAAGTCTTGAGCCATCCCTCATTTCTTTATATTTTGCTAGGTAAATGGGAAACAGATGCAGTAAGCTAGTGAGTAAAATACAGGCAAAACAGTGTTTTGGTCCACCCATATTTTTTTAACAAAACCACTTTTAGGGAAGCTTTCTTGTAATTTCTTCAAGTAGTCTTCAGGAATACTTTTCTGATGTACAAGGACTAGACTAAAAGTAAGTATTTAAGTAAAAAAAGGTGCCATTAAGAAGACATTAAGAAAGCCCAGAAAACGATTGCTCATGTCTGGTTCTTTCAAGGAAAACAAAGAAATGAGGGGTGGTTGAACTAAACCTTTATACCTTAAACACAGTGTATATAAAAATGAATGTATCGCTAATCCAGTTAACTGCTGGTTTCTGAAATTTGACTTTGAAGCATTGAGTTTTTTGACCACTGCTATAGTTTTTGCTTTGTATTAGTTTTATAATCTAATTTTCATCTACATGGGGCTATAATTTATGATGTAAATACAATGTATTCATACATTGTAGTACCTTCAAATTTATGTTTTCATAGACATGTGAGCAATAGGGTTGTTTTATCAAACATTTATACAAGCAGGAGTCACTAAGTTTAAGGTGCTTCTGCATTAGGTTTACTTCCAGCAACCTTTATACAAAGTCTAAACTTTAAACCTAAAGTATGCTCAAATATTCAAGTGTCACTGGTTCCGAAGCAAAAAATCTCAGTTATATTTTAAATTAAACACATTCTTTGTTATTTTTACAGACCTACTTTATTCCCCATAAAGCCAAAGAATTTGGCCTAGAATAACAAAACAATGACCCTACAGGACAGACCTGAGGCTGGGGTCAGAACTGCCCAGGTTGAGAAGAGCAATGTTGAGGAGAGTGCCAGGCACATCTTTTGGTCGGATTTTAGTGTGCTGAGGGATGGAGTCAGGCTGCGACAACTCCCAGCGTGTCCGGATATGGATGATAGACTGAACTATGGCATCACACTCCTGGTGCATGAAAGTGAGGGGTGTGCCCTGGTTGGCCATGGTGAGGGTGAACTGACTCTCATCCACAAGGCAAATCTCCTCAATCTCGGAGGCATAATATACATCGTTGAGGAAGACAGGCTGGCCAAGGACGCGGGTGCGCTCAGCTGAGGTCACCTGAACGGCTGTTGAACCCACCTGGTCAAGAAGAAAATAAAGATGGTTAAAGATACACCTCTGTTACGATTTTAGTGATTTAATATGTTTATTTAGTGGTAATATTTCTATGTTGCTCATTTTTAGTGCAAGTTGAAAGCTGAAACCTTACCTTAATTGAGACCTTGGTATCTTTGTGGGCCAGTTTGAGGGCATTGTGGAACACTTTAAGGTCTTCCTCCAGTATCAGTGTGGCTGCAGGCAGCTTCTGTTGGTCAGGTTCAATGTGCTCTGCCAGCTTAGCTGGAGAATCAATGAACTGGAGCCGCTTGCTCCCTTTTAGGCCTGTCAGCAGCCGCTCATGATACTTGGTGTACTCTCTTACCCAAGTGTTGCAGTTGTAGACATAAACAGCTGCCACATTCTCATATGCAAAGCCAGGAAAGACAACAAACCACTTAGAGAGGAAGTCAGTCTTGAAACGATTGCTGGGTCCAACATGTGTTAAGTCTACCACTATCTCATAGGGCTTAGCATAGTAGGGTTTTAGGGTGAGAAGGACATGGTAGATGAGCAGGTCACCATTGATCTGGCCCGTTTTGAACCTAAAGAAAAGGGGGAAAAATTAATTATGGTTAAATACGAAATAGTTTTATTTTTTGGATCAGTTGTATAAATGTGAGGCTTAAATTGTTCATTGCATTCTATGTGGTTGAACTCTGAAAAGCTTCATTTCTGAAAAAGATTGCTTCTTTTTGTCTGTCCTTTTTTGTAAGAGCCCTGCAAGCCTCTGTGGTATCAAACCCAAGGCTCTGAAATAATCACACCCTCTGCAAAAAAACAAACAAACCAAAAGACAAAAAAAAAACCAAGCAGAAAGAGGGGTCAGGAAGTGACTTCAGACCATCTCAACAGTCAGTTTGCAGCAGGTGTCACGTGCCATTTCTTCCCCAAGACCTCCATAGGACTACTTCAGGTAAGAATTTGTCATGCAGCATCTTTGAATCATATTAAAAGTACAAAAGTCAAGCATTTCCTTTAAAAAAAAATTAATTTAACTAGAACTGTTCAAACAACCTTCTGATCATGAGCTCTTGTAGTGGCATTCTGGAATAACGTTCTACATTTTTTTTTCAGCTTTACTTTTTCTAAAACAGTTTCTGAATTTCAGAGATGATGGAAGGTGCAAAATCTCTTTGGCTGTTTCTCCTGCTCAACCACCTGCCACTCTGCCCTGTCGGTGCTGACGCAGTCCTTTCAACAACTCAAATATATTCACAAGACTATTCCCAAGACCAAAGAAGCAGCCCCACACTTGCTGTGAGTACTACCCTCAGAACAAGTGAAGACAAAGACTCCATCAATGGCACTCGTGGTGACTGCTTGGTTGACACTGAGATGGGTCTGATTGCTATAAGTTCAGCTGGAGGTCTCATTGTGTGCTTGCTGGCTGCTACTGTGGTACTGGCATGCCAGGTCTGCAGCCTTCAGCGCCAGGTTTATGGCCCTCGCACCTCACGGTCCAACATGGACTTAGTAAGCAGTACAGGCTACTGGGGCACAGACCAACCAGAGATTGCAGGCCTGGTTGGACCATATGATGCCAGTGTCATGCTTGAGGAGGTGAAAGAAGACAAGACTGAGGAAGAGAGGCAGGCTGAAACAAAAGGAACAATGGAGGACGATGGGGCAGGACTCAAGGAAGGGGCAATGGCAATAGCGTTTGATCCTCAGGACGATCAAAGTCATATGCACAGCTCCAACTTCAAGGACTCCTGTTTGGAGATTCCCAGGGATTTAGAAGACATGCCCCTTGTTGTGTAAGGAGGTAACCCTACTTCAGTAAATCCAGTCACATACACAACTAATCAGTTTAGCTGATTTAAAATATATTAACTTGGCTTGTTTCAATCACATCCTTTCCAACAGAGATGCACCAATTGTTAAATCATGGGCAAATATAAAATGAAATAAACGAATTATATTAATGGAGATTTTTTTAAATTTTTAATTTGCTCTTTTTTTGGACAGAAATAAATAACTTTGAAAGTCTTTCAAACGCATTCATGAAACGGACACAAGGAAAGAAAAAGCTATAATAGAGTGGTGACTGTTTTCTTATTTGCTGAAGGCAGTCAACAAAGTGAGAATGGAAATTTGGTTAATAAACTGATAATTTTGTTGTTGCATCACTATTCCTGTTTATTTTCATCTTGTTAAATGTAGGGCATCATATGCAATTTACTACATTAGTGCTGACAGAATAAAGAGCTTTGGGTGCACACACCAAAAAGCATAGTTTTTGCTTAGATAAGGATACCTTTAACATGTTACATAGTTCTATATCTCGTAGTAAATCTTTAAAGCCTGGTCCTGAGTGTTCAATTAAAACAGAAAGAAAGAACGAAAGAAATAAAGAAAGAAATCCTAACTTTTAAACACATAACATAGCACGGTCCATATTTGTTGTGCGCATGATTTGCATCAGTAACATAACATAGCATAATAACTTACATAATGAACAAAAAGCAGATTAACAAAAAGAGTTCTGAAGAGATAATGGGCTAAATTGATAATAGAAATGCTGGAAACTTTAACTCTGAATCTGTTTCAGCTATGTCTAATCTTTTAAATGAATTTTCAACTATTTAATTATTGGTTATAACTTAAATACTTGTAATATTTGCCAGTTTTTAAATAAATTGACCTTTGTATTGTGTCAGTGTTTCATGAGTCAAATCAATATTTGTCAATTATGAGCCCTATACACACACACACACACACAGAGAAAGTTGTGGTCAAAAGTTTCCATACACTCGTCATGGACATTTTGAGCTTTAAATGATTTCTTTCCATTGTTGTTTTCCCCTGGTCGACTAAGTCTCATCAATATACCTTCAAGGACTAAAAGAAAAACACACACAAAAAACAACCAAGAACTGGATGTACTGTAGAATTTATTTTGGATTTCATAATCATACATGACCAAAAATGTGCACACAAGTTCAAATATATATATATACACCCCCCACTAATATTTGGCTACATGTTCTTTAGTTGCACCTAGACCAGATGCTTTTGGTAGCCATTAACAAGTGACAATTTGGGTGTTTTTCAAGAGCTTGGCAAAGTGGTGACACATCCAAATAACTTTTGTAAAACAGTTTCAACAGATTTCAACTTCTTGAAATCTGCACATCTGTACAAAGGCTCCAAGAGATCTTACCAGCTTTGGAAAATCAATAGTTTCTTGGACTCGTAGAGTATTGGTCAATGAAATAAGTATTATCAAGCTATTTCTACTATGCTGACAAATACAAACTATGTCTTGTTAAAAGACAACACTTTGAGCTTGAATATATACTTTTGACCCTGTGTGGATTAGAGAAAATCCAAAATGTATTTGTGCAATGGCAATTATTATTCTTAAAATTTTTAAAGATCTATACTATATAATCATTCGACAACAAAACAGGCCACAACAGTGACTACTTATAGAACTGTTATTCTGCTTGATTAAATAACATGTACAAGCCACACACCTGTCAGTAACCCAGAAAAAAACCCCACCCATTCCTGTTATGATACAGTTCTGATTAAAAGTTGTTCTAAACTTCTAAACTGTATTGAAAATATGATATTTTTTGCCATTTTTCAAGTACAATACAGTTGTATTGTACTTGAAAAATGGCAAAAAATATCATATTTTGCATGGTTGGATCTTAACAAGGATCCAAATAGATCTTCAACATAAAACAAGAAGAAATGGGAGTGAGGCATTTTTTTTGGAGCACACAATTTATTGAAAACAATGCTTAAATTGAAACAGGCTGTTTTACAGCTGATCAAAAGTTTAGGGCCACATGCCTTAAAAAAGCCAAATCTGTGCAAAAATGTGGATTCATTGTCATCTTCTGTCAGGTAGTCAGACTGTTATGACGTTCTGATGGCAAAGGCAAAAAAACTTGACCTTTTTGAACGCGGTCGGGTTGTTGAACTGCATAAGCAGGGTCTCTCTCAGCGCAACATCACTGCCGAGGTGGGACCCAGTAAGACGGTCATTTGGAATTTCTTAAGTGATCCTTAGGGTTATGGAACCAAAACGTCAAGTGGAAGACCGCCAAAAATTTCACAAGCACTGAGCTGGAGGATCCAATTGGCTGTCCGTCAATACACTGGACTATCCTCGACCCAAATTAAGGCCGTTACTGGTGCAGACTGCAGCCTCATAACCATCAGACAGCATCTGAGGCTGAAGGGCTTCAAAAACGTTACTGACATGACAAGCAGATCCCACCTGACATGTTTTCTATGCGCCACAGTGGAGGGGGCGCCATAATGGTCTGGGGTGCTTTTTCCTTCCGTGGAACAATTGAGCTTCGGGAAGTGCAGGGGCGTCAAACGGCTGCTGGCTATGTCCTATGTGCACGCGCGTCCTAAACCTTTGATCAGCTGTCAAACAGCCTGTTTCAGTTTAAGTGTTGTTTTCAATAAATTGCATGCTCAAAAAAATGTTCTGTCTCAGTCCCATTTCTTGCACGTTACATGCTCTACTTGGAATCGTGTTAAGATCCAGCCATGCAAAAATATGATTTTTTTTGCCATTCTTCAAGTGAAGTGGTCTTAAACTTTTGATCAGGACTGTATATGCCCTCCTTATGCAGTCAAAATATCTCTGACCTGTCAGGGCATGGGAAAGTGATCTCTGTTTGTATGTTTTTGTGTATCGCAGATCCTGTAGATTTTGTGGTTGAGAATGCAGTATGATAACAAGGTGAGTTTACCTTTCACAGGCATCAATGGTGTGGCTTATAAATGTCCTTACCTTACTCAAACTATGTCCTAAAAAAGACATGAGCTGCTACCATTCTGCTGTTGCAGTTATGATATGTTACTGTTCTAGACATTTAAACTTAAAGAATGCCTTTTCCTTCTTAAAACCAAAGAGCACTCATGAAAATTTAAAATTCACACTTTTTAAAAGTCAATCTTTAGAATTTTACAGATTAATTCAGCATTGTTTCAGCAAACATTTTTAACGCAAGACTTGGTTGTAAAACATGAACTACTATATTTAACACAGGACACTGAGAATGATTTCACGTGTCACGCTTCCTGTAAGTGGTGCAAGAATCAGTCTCGAAATTTCAGCAGCGACAAACTGTCCAACCCCCAAGATCTTACTTCCTTAGAGACAGCAACTCTGCCAGACAGCAACAGCAATATTCAGCTTTTAATACACCCTGGAAGGACACAACCAACAGCTTGGAGTGTTCACCTGTGTACAGACACTGGTATGTAAATCTAAATTACTAGATTACTGATAGTTTTGGGTCCAACTCACAGCTTGACAACTTTAAATTGATGATTATGTGAAATTGAGACATATCTGTATCTATACACACACACACACACACACACACACCTAAAAACTAAATGTTATGTGTAAAATGTTATTAAACAACAGAGGATACATAAATGTAAATTAGATGAAAATGGTAAAAGCAGTGTTTGAAACTGGTAAATTGCGTACCCTTCAAACCTATGGTGGATTACGAGCATTTTGAGGAACTTACCATTTCCTAAAACATATTATATTGCATATCACTAAACGTTCTTTATTCAAATGATACTGCTTCAGACTACGTGCTCTGACAAAATAATTTCCTCTGTTCTAGCTTCAGAGACACAGTAGCCATTCTGAGGACAGCAATGACCACAGATTTTACAAGCCTCACGTTCATATGGCTGCTGCCACTGGCAGCAAGCAATGCAGTGACATCAAGCAATGCAGTGACATCTAATCAAAGTGAAGTCTTCAGCTCTACGGTAACTGTAGAATCATTCTCTCACAATGAGCTGACAACACATACTCAGGCATACTCAGAGAAAATACCTGCCACGAAAGACGCACAACGAAGAAGTCAAACAATGCCCTCGAATACGATCCTACCTAATACTAAGACAGCACCAGCTCCTACCAGTTCTGCATCGCCTCACTTAAACAGTACTTCCATGGAATCCTTAACAGAAATACAATCTACAGTCATCAAATCTTCAATGACAGATCTAACTGGCACCCCAGCAACACCTACAAGTGTAACTCCAGTGATAATCAACTCAACCCAAAGCCAGAAGACATTAAGCACACACGTTAGGAGGCACACAAACCCCTATCCACCTACATTTTCACCGAAGTCTACAAAACTCATCTCTACTACTAACACATTTACCACACCTGAAGAAGACAAGTCTGAAAGCATGAGTCCAGCTACAGGTGATGATGTGAAACATTCCACAGGCTTATACAAAACTTCCTCATCCATCAACAATATCAGAAAAAGGAAAATACAAGAACCTTCAGAAACAAAGAAAACGAACCATGGTAAAGTAGTGGCCGGACTAATCGGTGGATCCCTGTTAGTGATGATGGTAGGATTCCTGATCATCTTTATTAGGAAACGGAAGCTTCAGAAGCAGCAGGTATCAACTACAGACTGGGCGGGTCCTTCACCATTTCTAGAGGGTGGAGCTAACAATGGCCAGGTAACAATGAGGCCACCTAACCGAATTTCTGTAGCCAGCTTTCTACCTGCAAGACTGTCCAAAAGATTGTCCTTGCTTCCGGAAACAGATGAGGAGTTAGAAGACATGACTCAAGTTACTACATTTGGAGATAAAAACCAGGGGACCACATTTGGCCAAACAGTCGATGGAAATGATGGACCAGAAAGCAATGGGACTAATGCAGTTTTTCCTGAAATGAAAACCACAGTAGACATCGGACCAGAAAGCAATGGGACTAATGCAGTTTTTCCTGAAATGAAAACCACAGTAGACATCGGACCAGAAAGCAATGGGACTAATGCAGTTTTTCCTGAAATGAAAACCACAGTAGACATCGCAGAGACTGCTGAAAACTGTGTTTCGGCTGTCTCTTTGCAAACTAACAACCCTGTGTCCACAAATAATTCAAGCCTCCGTCAAGACCTTTCTGCAAATCA